ATATGACATGGCCCAGGTAGTAAGTGGGTAATTAGGAAGAAACAGAAGAGACCATTAACACAGGGAAAGTAAAGATACAGCTTATACACTGTCCAAAAGCTGCATCAAAACTTTTGGAGCTGGGAGGCCAATTTCCCCTATCTCCATCTGTCTTTGCACATCTGTCACTGGAGAAGTCAGTCTAGTACTGACAAACAGAGCTATGACATCTATTTAAAGTTGAGTAACATGCCCCAATGCTGGCACAGGAAAACCTGTCTGTCAGTGGTTCTCTGTAACAGATGGAGAAGGGCATAAAAGCAGAACCTCATAGATCTCAGGACCTCAGAGATGCTCAGCTCCAAAAATGCTCCATTTTCATGTGTCATTCAGAGAAGGGGCCCAGGAATCTAACCAAAAATCACTGCCACATAATAGCAATGAATTTATACCCTTTGAATGCATTTTGAATTCATGTTTTTGAATAGCGGAAGTTGAACTGCTCACTGGGCAAACTGAGGTCATTGTGGCAGCATCTCTGCTGCTTCTGGGCAAAACTCTTGAGATAACTGTGACACATTTCTGCATGGAAATAGAATTTTTCAGGAGTAAGGAGTGACCATCAGTTCTTAGTTTCTGGGTAAACTTTGCCCTGTAATCTGTCTCACACACACTTTGCATTTCTCAACCATGTCTCATTTGTGGCCAGTGATGTCCTAATTTGTTTACAAAATGCCTTTCTTATTCCAACTGAGCCCAAATTTCTAAGGTTAATTCTCCAGTCTGAGATGGAAATTACAGGAAAACAACCTATAAACCTATAAGAGATGTATTACAATTAAAGGCACTAGGACCCTCCCTGACCACTGAGAGCAGACTGGTGCCATGAAACAATGAGTTGGGTAAGTCAGACAAGCTATGGTGACCACAGGAAGCTGGAGAAAGGCTTACATGACCAGGGTTGACTAGCCATTAGAAAAAAAATAGTTCAGTTGGAAGGGAGCTGCAAAGGTCTTCTAGTCCAACTGACCAACCACTTCAGGGTTAACCAGAAGCTAAAGCATGTTAATGAGGGTATTATCTAAATGTCTCTTGAACACTGACAAGCATGGGACATCAATCACCTCTCTAGGAAGCCTGTTACCATGTTTGACCACCCTCATGGTTCAAAAAAAAAAAATCCTAACTTTTTCCTCTGTTGAAGAACTTGAGTCACACTTCTTATCCAGAGGGTAGAGACTAGTCTGTGCTTTTATATTATTGGCTGTTACTGGATTTCTAAGCTCTTGGGTAGATGCAACTGATACGACTGTTACCTGGATAGGGACTGTGCATTTTGTATTAAAGATATCTCCTTCCCACTCAGATATGTCATGAGGCAGGAAACTTTCAATAAGCAGAGATTTACACTGCCTGGTTCTTACACAACACTGCATGCTGGCTCCCCACATCTTGTGCATGGGGCTGAAGAGCCAGTGCAAAACTATTACACTGAGAAAGACTGGTTTTCTATGCTGGGACATGAGAACAGGAGACAAGTGCAAATGGAGGGAAGTAATACTCTGCTAACATACTCCCAGCTTATGTTTTCTAGAACTACTTCCAATGAAAAAATAAAAACCACAAACAACCAACAAAACAACAACAAAACTACCCAGTACTAAATAGAATGGTTTAGGAACACAGAGTTTGATTTCTGGTTAAATACCATCTAGACAGTTTCTTACTGGGCGCCAATGCTTTCAGTTCCTATAAATGAAGCTCGACAGATTGAAAAAGATTTTCTCAGTGAACAATCTTCAGTCTTATTTCTCATCAAGAGCCAAGACTGAGAGACTGAAAGGCTCATTTTCCAGTTCAGATATCTTCAATCCCCAGTGAGCAATTTGAGCTTTAAGTAAATCAAAAGACATAATAGTAAGTTAAATAAAACACATCCTCTGTATAGCCTGTGGTATATCACAAATGCTATTAAAAAAAAAAAAAAAAGTATTCTTTGTTATTTAACTGACAGAAAAATATTGTTTGTCTTAACAGAAGACAAAGCAACTCTCTTCATATATAGGAAAAGAAAAAAAAAAAACACAACACACCAAACAACACTTAGAAATGACAGTATTTACAGGTGCCTTAATAGTTTTTAATGCTTCAATACTATTTAATGCTCTTGGGACTGAAGTAGCTTTGCTGACAAGGACTTGTGGACACCAAACTGAACACAGCTGACTGTGACAAAAAAGACTAACAGCCTGGGTGGCATGAGAGGGAGTGTTTGCAGCAGGTGATCTTTCCTGTTTACTTAGAAGTGGTGAGGCCACACCTGGAGTCCTGTGTCAAGTAGAGGGTTCTCCAGTACAAGGGAGACATGGACAGATTGGATAGAGTCCAACAAAGAGCCACTCCTTTATAGTGGAGTATCTCTGCTCTGAGGAAGTCTTAGAGAGCTGGGGCTGTCCAGCCTGGAGAAGAGAAGGCTTAGAGTGGATCTCATCAAAGTGTATAAATACCTCAAGGGAGGGAACAAAGAAGACAACGACAGGCTCTTTTCAGTGGTGCCTGGTGGCAGGACAAGAATTAAGGGACATACAGTGGAACACAGGAAATTCTATCTACAACAAAACACGTTTTTAGTGAGGGTAGTTAAACACTGGAACAGGTTGACCACAAAGGTTATGAAGCCTCCATCCTTGAAGATATTCAAAACATGACTAGACATGGGCTTGGGCTACATGCTCTAATTAAGCCAGCTTAAGCAGGGTGCCAGTTCTCAAGACATCACTTCCAATATTCAAGCATTCAGTGATTATGTGATTTCTTTTGTGTGGAAGATATTTATTTTTATTTAATTTTTGAAAGAGACAGGGACGTATCTACAGATGTCCACCACCCAAATAAATATCACAGAACTTTTCTTATTAATTAACTCAGGAAGAATATATCAACTCTACTGTCTATCTTATTTAAAACATTGGGTATTACTTTCCTGTAGTACTTGGGAAGGAACTCCATTGGAAAATATATAACATGGCTTGGTATTGACAGAGGAAATAAAATCATATTATCCATACTTCTAGGTTCCTAAGGAGTTTTAATGCAACAGACCCATGAATAACATTCTTTTAGAGTGAGGAAGAGCATTTCAGGAAGGAAAAGTTCAGCAGAGTGACACAACTTCTGGAAATGCTAGATCCTTTGAAAGAACCAGTGATCATTAGTCCCACAAAATTACCTGAACAATTTTGAGCCCAATACTCCAGTTTGAAGCATGCACTGGAAAGTGGCATGTCAATGCCAGTTATATATGCTTTTATTCTGGGGGAAAAAACAAACAAACAAACCTGGCATTTTTCTTCTTGAAATTTTTATATCTTGTAGCTTACAGCAGTCAAATCTCTTTTCTCTTAAGTCCAGAGCATGTACATAGCCCTTTCTCTTGCTAATGTCAGCAAGAGTTTTGTAGTATATTTTAGATGTTCTTGAAACACATATTTATTAAGAAGATGAAATACAGACTAGCTAGCAAGGGCTATATCTAGTAATATAGTGCAGCAGTTTGCTGTGAACATACTAACAAGTGCTGCACTGGGCTGTAAACACAGACAGGAAAACTTTCAATACTTAGGCCGCTAACTTTTTCCTTTCACCTCCCACTGTATCTCCCCAGCTCACTTGTAACTCATGAGACCTCAAAGCTTAGGAAAAGAAACCCAACTAAAATAGTTGTAAACATCATACCTATTATTTTGTAATTTGGATAATCAGGCAAACAGGTTATAAATATCTTAAATCATAACACAGATTTATACACACTTACACCTCTAAATTGTAAAAAACTATTTGTTTTAACTCTGAAACCATCAGGTCATTAGTGGAAATTGAGTTATGCATTTTGCAAGTAGCTAGCAATAATGGAAAGTTATAAGAAATAGCAGCAATAAATTAATTATAACCTGTAAGCACAATCACTCTTCTATGAAGCCTCAAATGCTTCTACTTCATCATTCATCCATTCCTCTCAGCTCAGCTATCACACAGCTTTCACCAAACTGCTGTAATCAATATGTTGATGAGGATAAATAAAGAATAAGGTGTAACAGTAATGTGCAGTCCCAATCCTCGCAGATTCTTTTAAACCTATTGAATTTCATTATAGTACTTCTCATTTTCAAGTGAAAGAACATTGGGAGTGAATAGCGAGCATCTTGATTTATTAATTGCAAATTAACTATTCTGTTAACAGCAAATCTATGCAGTAAATCCATTCACTCCTAGCTTTGTATAGTCAATAGGTTGAACTTTGCCTACACTAAGTTTGTTTCCTAAAAGCAGAGAGAGATGGCAAAACAATGATCATCCTTCTTATCTCCCAAATTGCAATAACACTCATTAGAAAAACAAAGATCCTTATAAATCTTATGAACCCACAGTGATTTTTGTAAGTATTCCTGAGATCAAATGTTCACGTTAGCATGCTTCCAAAGGTTTTATCCAGAGCACTCAGATGAGCTCCACATTATAAGTCTTCAGTCACTATTACTGCTTGTTAATGATGTGCTCAGGACACTGAGACCCTGAGTGACAGCATTACTTGTCATGGTATGTCAGTCTCAGGTCTGACCACTCAAGCTGCCTTACCTTCTGTCTTTCAGGTCACAAGTTGCATTATGTTAACGTACACAGAAACATGTTAAATGACACTGAGCATTTTGTAAATTTTTATAGAATAAAATAACTTGTGAATATCTGAGCTGGTGTACCCCCCCCAGCCTGCCCCTTCACCGGTAACCCTGCTCAGGTGGCAGCCATCAGTGGCAGCTGTGATGAATGAACCTAGTCATAATAGCTGAACCAGGTTCAAGGTGGGTGGATTTGGGGGAGATAAGTCCAAGGACTATTGGAGCATGCACCAAACAAATAAGGTTGATATACAAATATGACTAGTCCTTCACCTTACTCCATAAATAAGGGACAGTCCAGATCCCATTGAGCTCTTCTGCTGCATGCTGGAATCTTCCCCTGGAACAGGGACATCTCTCAAGGTTACTCCTTGAGGCTGAGAGATTCTCTGCCTGTGACAGATAGTCATTGACTAATAGCTAGCTCATTGAGACTTTGCAAGTAATTTGCTAAGCATGATGAAACTTTGTAATCTTAGCTAAGTGATATAAAGGATTGGTTGTGCATATGATTCTTTAGGTATCAGCTCTTAAGTCTGGGATTGTGTTGTATCTAGACTCACTCCTTGGAGTTTGGATGGCAAGAGGGGCTCCACTCTGAACCTTGTGACTCAAGGTGAGGGTCTTCCTGACTCTTTTTGTCTGACCCTGCCCTCAATGCAGTGAATAATTGGGTAACCTTGCCATCATGAATCTTGTTAACGCTACATTTACCATTACAATTTTCTTAGATCACTGTCTTATTCATGATTAAGCCCTGCTAAATCTCTGCTTTCATCAATAAATATATTGCTGCTTCTTTCTTATGAGTGAAATGCATAGCAGCATTTGTGAGAACACCAAACTGTAACCTTCTATAACAAAGGGCTTTTGGGAGCTGTGGACAGCAAATGTGGCCCTATAATAAGCATAATGCATGAAGGCATATCTTTGAGGAAGCTGTTTTGCACCTACCATTATTAGCTAAATGTATAATTACATGACTGACTTGTTTTATCTGGAAATCATAATAAGTATTAAGTCATGCATGGTTCCTGGAAAACCATTGACCGTGAATCCAGCTCATTAAATCTGCCTTTAAATCTGGACTTTACTGTACACTAGATTTGGTATGAACTATCCTGGCCATACTAAAGACTTTTTCCTGTGATATGCTGATATGCTTGGTGCCACAGAAGTGATTTTCATTAATTTGCCATTTAAGCAAAAACTCTTATTTCTGGGGCATAAAATAAAATCTCAGACATGGTTTACATCAGTGGAAAAATCCTTATTCCTTTGAAGCAGGTCAATATTTTTCAATAGAAAAATATTTTTCCAATAGAGAAAAAGGGGATCATTCTGAGCAGAAGATTTTTATATCTTCTTCAGCAGTGTTCTTCCTCTTTTCCTTGCACCTAGTATTCCATGAGTGAGCAAGGCATGTCTTTTCTGATACATATTAAACACAAATTGCTTCTGAAGTCATTCCTCTGGGTCTCATCCAGCCTTTTCAAAATCAGTGGCATTACCTGGGATGTGAGCTGGAGCAGGAATTGTCCCAGCGTGTGTGTAAAACACTGTGAAGCATTTTACAATCCTTTAGCCCAAGTACTGCTACACTAAAAATCAATGGTGGTTCCTTCTGTAACGAAGTGAATTATGGACTGAAAACAAACAACAGCCTCCAAAAGCTAGGAAAACCTATTAAAATGTCATCAATCACTTTTCACTTTTTCCTTCACATTACATAGACTGCAGCAAGATATTGAGCTTGGGTATAACGGGAATTTTATTCCTTAGTTCTCCCATTTTTTTCCATTGACCACCAGTATGTTCATAATACCTAAATGAAAAACAGAAGATATTTACAGTAAACAGAAAAAATATACCATTTGGGGCATTTGATTCAGGAAGATTTGGTCACCATACAAAATTAGACCTGTTACAATATCCTCACTATCAGTGTGTATGGGACTCTGAAGCCCCATTTGAACATCATTGTTTAAGGGACAGAAGAGAAAAAATCTTTTGCATTATACTGGAAGAAAGAAAAAAGCAACATTGCTTAGTTCATACAGAAGTTTTCTTTTTCTGATATTTCTGTCTAAATGCAGATGTCTGTTTTCTTCTCTGTACCGTCTATATAAGAAATCCCTCAAGACAAAGATGCTGAATAGAAATGAATACTTAAAATGATTTTTTTTTCTTCTAGAAGGAAGACAAATTTATCAAGTATGTTTTGTGTCACTTTACCAGTGAGTTGAGCCTTCATTTTCTCTGGGTAACACTGCAAATGTGCAGAAGATGAAACAGACAAAGAAAAAAAATATGATCCTAGGATTGTGTTTGAATCCCTATCCTTCATTCCTCTTGTTTAGTCTGCTTCTGCCAGAACAAAAGCAGAGAGCTCCTAACCAGCATTTAGACAAGACAGACTCATTTTGCAGCCCTGGGGTTAGTGCTTTCTTCTAGCTTTTGGGTAGGTAGTATTGCTAACTCTGTTTAAATTGCTCTTTTGTGTAAGGATTTGGGGCATAATTTTACTTTCTTACAGAAGAAAAATAAAATATGGTAGAGGGTAATCCATATCCTAATAAAAGAATTAAAACAAACAGACAAACAAAATCAAAAACAACAACAACAAAAAACAGTCTGGCAGTTTAGACTATAAGAGATTTCTGAGTGACTGTCAGTGCTGGCAAGCTCTTGACAGTGACAAATGAAAACAGCCAGCAATCACAGCAGCCCGCTTCATTGCAGGAGGATTGTGAGGTGGACAAAGTTGTTTGGTTTCTCATATTTCACCATATATGGGAGAAAACTCAGCATGCTCAAGTCCTGTCAGGTGGTCAATAAATATCAATATTTTGTTTCTAGCTACTTTGCTCTGAAAATATTTATTTTTATTCAGTTAAATCAGATGGGAGTTACTCTTAACTGTGACACCAAGGAGATGAGAGCAGTAGGGGACCCACAAGAAAGTCTGGATAGTTCAGGGAGGTGTCACTGCAAGCTGGAGGGGTTAAAACAACAACAACAACAACAACAAAAGGTGGGAATTGGCAAAGGTCAGAATGAAAAACAAGAAACAAAATTTTAGGAGCTGTGTAGAGAAGTAGGTGACATCAAAGTCAAGAAGGTCAAAGAGAAGCAGGTTGAGGTGAATTTAAGCTATGTACAGGGGAATAAAGAAATGAATCTCGGAAACCTTAAGAGAGGAGGATAAGTAGAACTTTAATCTAATTTCAATGTACAAGGTAGGGGCAACTTTTTGGTTTCAGGCAAACTGTAAAAAAAATCCAAGTGTTGATTTCAGCTGTGGCTAACAATGTGGAGGAACTGTGAAAAAAGATAGGGTGAACTTTTTTTTTAGTCATGTTAGGATAGATGCAGGAACAGATGTTAGGTAGAAAGTCACTGAACTGTAGGATAGAAGGTATGGCAAGATGCAAAAGAAGATTTGTGAACATTCAGCATAAATTGAAATTCAAAACCACATGAGTTCATATAATAAGCCACATGCAGGGCACAGGGGACCCAAGCAGGAGAAACAGATCCTAATTGGGACACTGCACTTCGAAAACTAAGTTTCCAAAACGGTGGACTTGACAGTGTTCAGGATGTCCAGAGTTGTGTTCCATGACTTTGGTGAAATGGGGATTTCTCAAAGAAAGAAAGAAAAAAATAGAAGAAAAAATAATTTCCTTACAGAGACAAGAGGTACGGTCTTCTGAGGAGCATTTAAGAAGTCTTAGTAATAACAACACTTCTAAATTATTTTAAGATTTCCAACAACAGTGCTGTAAAATGCTTGCAGAAGTGCTGTTTGGTTAGCCCTTGTGCAGTGCCAAGGCTTAGGACCTGGTCAGCATCTCAGAAAGGTCCCATTGAAACAACCAAGAGTATATATCTTGGTTGGTCCATATCCTAAATTTATCCAGAGCTCTAACTTGGAGGGAGGGACATCTAACAAGAATCTGTAGATGTGGGAAGGAGAAAGTACCATCTAAGTTCTGCTTTGCTTACAAAGGTAGAATTTTTTTTCTGGAAAAAAAAAAATCATAAGTTATTCAGTAGAGTGATTCAGTGAGATGTGCAGTACTGAGAATCACAGACAGTGCTAATACCATTCTTTTGTAATTTATTTTTATGTTTGCAACACTAGTTTTTCCTCTCTGAGCTTGAAAACCCAGACAACACAAACAATGAATATTAATTTTAATATGAGACACCAGATTATGATTTCCCCCAAGTTTCTTAAATTTAATTTTCAAGCTAGAGTCAGGTTTATTGTTTTGAAGTGAGAATTTTCTATATGAAGTCTGAAGACATTAGTTTTGTATACACTAAATGATGCAATACTTCATTCTTGGAATATTTTTTCCTTCTATTAAAAGTCCCCCCAGCTTCATTTCATCCAAAAGACCAACAGTTCCTTGTAGTTTTCTTGTCTGCCACCAATATCTTTGAATAGGAATACTGTGTGGAGAACTATGATAAAATGTACTTGTTACAGATAGTATCACAATTCTCTGTCCTACAAGTACCTGAATTGTTACAACTAAGGAAGGCTGACAAACAAAAAATAATAAAAACAGAGTCCCCAGGCCAGAACAGGGTGTATCTCTCCTTTAGCATGTGGCATCAGTAGCATTACTGATAACTTTGTCTGAAGAGAGTCCAATTTTAAAAATACAAACTTTCAATATGCAGAAATACTTATCTATTTCATTTTTCTTTATATCAAAAATGTTTCTTTTTTTTTTTTTTTTTTTTTTTTTTTTTTTTGTGTGTTGTACATGAAGATGTGTAATGGCTACATTACAATGATTCTTTTTTTTTTTTCTTTTTTCTTTTCTCCTGATGATTCTATATCTATAATAACTAGCATTAAGCTGTCAATGAAAGCTGTGACATTGGTAATTATATATTTTTTTTATTATGAAAATTAGATGCATAATTGTGTATGACATGTCATGGGGTAACTGCAAGTGCTTACCTTTATCATTGTAGTCATTACACGTCTTCATGTACTACACAACATCACCTACAATGCTTGCTACTATTTGTAACAAGTAAACAGATTGTTTAAAGATACATATCATCTTAAAGATACATTAATAAAGAGGTACATGATCAACAGGAGATCTTTTGTTAGCATCAGATAAATACAATTACAACAGAATGAACATTTCTAAAAATTGTAATGCACTTGAGTAATAGCATATGAATTATCTTAGAGTATAAAGATTGGGAAGGAATTACTGAGAAGTGAAAACATATCTGTACCCTTTCTGTTAAAAAAAAAAAAAAAGCTGATAACTGCAGAATTAAATGAAGCCACATTAAACAGACTACTGTGTTTTTTCCATTTGAAAATTGTCTGAAAAAGCTGAGCAATATGTATTTATAATAATACATGCGTACTGTGTTCCAGAGCTCCAGCAGCCAGCTTGTCCTGCAGTTCTCATTGCTCTAATGACAGGTGACTGACCTCCCACAATGTGTGTAGCTCAGGACTGTGAGTTGGACCCAAGCAGCAAAGCACCTAACATTTTCCTGCTGAGCTGATAATTGGAATACTTCTATTTTTTGATAGATAGCCAAAAGCAACTTGTGGAACCATGAAATTAAACAGATATTGCCCACACAAGCTCATTGTAACTACAAGTTTTAGGTGGCCACTCAATTATAGGTGATTACATCGTTCAGCAAGCAGTGCAAGACTGCACTGAACTTCTGGAGCTGTTCTTTGACAGCAGAGCCCTGCAAAAAAACAGTTCATCATCCATATGATGTAAACCATATATTTAAACATTCTGATTTTGAGAAGAAATTGAGATAAGCAGGTCTTTTACTGACTACCTTATAAAATTACCCTTCATCTTCTTTTGAAGAAAATACTCTATTTGTCTTGCAGACGAATCATTGCTAAGTAAGAATCTCTCTCAGTCTGGCCATGAAATATATATTAGAGAGCAGAATGCTATCAAAGGCTGAAAATATATATATATATATTTTTTTGAGTCTGTGAGCAACAGGAGTCAGGGGAGCAGCATTACCTTTGATCTTCAGTTTACTGCATCTTGTTAGTCCACTCAGACTTCAATCCCCAAACTGACATACTGCCTGCAATTGTAAAAATTATAAAGTCAAAAAGTTCTGTTCCTTTTTTTGTTTGGAGGGAGGGAGGGGGGATCTGAATACTGTTAATGTATGACTAGAAATTTGTTGATTTGTTGTTTTGTTTGCTTTTTACTTGAGGCCTTGCTTTGCTGAATGCCCTCACCTGCTCTGGGGATCTCAGCACCCGACCTTTCCTCTCCCACTTGATCTCTCCCTTCTTCCTTCTGGTAAGTTCTGCCCAGATAAAATCAGATTTTGGACTAGAAAGATGAAGTGAGAATGGGATAAGGTTATAGTTTGTGCTATAAGCACTGAAAAAACTATTAAGGTCTTGAATAGAGCAGAATTTAAGACACAGCTGTATGTTCAGCATATCCCCCTTGGTTAACCTGTATTCAGTGGCATCTTCTAATCAGGCTGATGAGGCTGTGATTTCTGTTGTGTGTGACTCTGACTGCACAGGGGGAGCATTGGCAGCCTGCTTGCATGCAATGATGCCAGCTTTTGAATGTGATGTTGTAACCAAAGAGAGCAACTGTAAATTCTGTGATTCTGTGATTCTGTGGTGCTGTCATATATGAGGCTAACTTTGACCATGAACAGTTTTAGTTATCTTAAAAAAAGACCAAGTATTTTTTTTTTTTAACATCTTTTTTAATCAGACGGCAAGCTTTGTTATTTTATTATTATTATTATTTAAGAGGGATGTTTTACCCATTACTTGCCCAAAATGCAGACGTGAAAGAGAGAGCTATTCTCTAACAGATGGCAATACATAGCATTAGAGACAAATATATAGAACATCCTAGTGGCTGAGAATGGTCATGAGTATTATATGCAGATGTTTATATTTTAGTGCTAATGTTCCTGTTTCACATTAGTACATTTTCAGAATTATATTATCTTCTGCTTCTAAAGAGAATAAAGTAGCCCCCATTGCAGAGGAACATTTTGATATAATTTAAGACATCACAGGAGATTTTTAAGAGTTGTGTTTAATTCTTACCTGCTACTTGGATGTCTAGAAGTGTAATATAGGGATCATACAAAGGGACTATATAGGGAGTACTGATCACTACTGCCACAGAAATTAAATGCTTCCTTTGTCTTGCTGTGTTTCCCATAGGTTTCTTATATCAATAGGTTCCAGTGTTACAACACTGGATGCTTACGACAGCATGAAACTGTCCTAAAATGACTGAATGTATTGATTACAGTGTGCCTAAGATACAGGAACTGTCCTTCATTTTAAAACAGAACATTTAAACTTTACATCCAATCTCCGTAGCAAAACAAATCATTTCTGCATGAGATTCCTCTTCAAAATTGGGTGTTATGCTGAAATACCATAGAGCAATAGGTATGACCTTTGTAGCATATCAGCATTTATTTAATGAAAAATATAATAAAAAAAGAGCAGATGGCATTTGGATATAAACAGATTTTGAAGGAAAATGCTTTTGCTTACTCTGATATACTTAGTATATGTGAAGCAATTTTCCCGAGGCAACACAGAATAGTTCAGAGCAATGGTATTTCAGAAATTTTCAAGTGATAAGCCTCAAAAGGCTCCCTCATGAATAAGAGGAAGGGTCTTCATGGAAACCTAGCTGACATCCTGAGCCACATGATACATTGAAGGAGGGACAACTGGAGGCTTAAACAAGTGGAGGCTGGATGTTCTCACAAGGGGGGGTGGATAGTGGGGGGAGGCTTGTGACTTCTGACAGCAGGAGAAATGCTTCTTCTCTGCCCTCAAAGTTGAATTTGCAGTCTTGGTAAAATGTCCTAATACCCAGTGAAGGGGACAAAGCTCCACTGAGAGAAACTACAGGAACCATCTGGGCCTGAGCTGAAAGTCAGCACCAGGAGGAAGTAGCTGGTGATGGGGGTTGCAGGAAGGCACCGTTAGCTGATGGGCACATTGTCACCAGAGGTTGCTGCTTGCTGGAGGACAGGATCTGTGATGTTACAGAGAGTGCCAAAGATCCCATGGGGAGTAGCTCTGAAGCTCAAAGGAACTCAGGAAACCTGTCCTTTAAGAATGGTCTGTCTTGATACTCAGGAAACTGAGTGGACATATCAGGAGACCGGGCAGGCCAAAAAAAACCTGTGCCAGTTCAAGGACTGGATGCTTACAGAGCATGGGTTGTACTTCACCTGGATGGCTGTGACAAGTGAAGTACCAGGTGTTACCTGCCTTTTACTGTCTTAGACCCTGTACTGTGTCTGGCTGGGATGGAATTATCTTTCTCTGCAGTGACCCTTACAGTGCTGTGCTCTGCACTTGTAGCTAGAACAGCCCAGTGTTGTGTCTATGGCTGAGCAGTGCTGGCACAGCACCAAGACTCCCTCCAAGCCTCAAGAGCCAGCAGGCTGGGGGTGGGCAAGTGATGAGGAGGGGACCTCACCAGGGCAGCTGACCTAAACTGACCAAAGGGATATTCCATGCCATAAGGTGTCATACAGCAATAAAAGGCAGGAAGGGGAAAGGAGAGGGGAGGCTCTCATTATGAAGAAGTCTGTCCTCCTGAACAACTGCTACTTGTATTGAGGACCTGCTTCCTGGGGCATGGTTGAACATCGCTCATTGATGGGAAGTAGAGATTTTTTTTCTCTCTCTCTGTGCTTCTGGGCAGCCTTTGCTTGTTTTTCCCCTCTTCCTTTCCCTTTAATTAAATTATCCATATCTCAACCTGTGAGTTTTGTTTTTTTTTTTTTGTATTTTTTTTCTTCCTCGTCCCCCTCTTCTTTTGAGGAGGGGGAGTGAGAGATGGGTTGTGGTAGAGTTTAGCAGCTGGGTAAAACCAGACCCCCAGCACAGGAAAGACATTGATAACGTGGATCAAGTTCAGTGAAGGATAACCAGGGCTGAAGCATGTGCCCTGTGAGAAGAGGCTGAAGGAGCTATGCTCATTCAAACTAAGAAAAGCATAGCTTCAGGAGGGCCTGACAGCTGTCCCCAAATATCTGGAGTTTATAAAGAAGTTGGAGCAAGACTATTCATAGTGCTTGCATGGCAGGAGGATGAAAGAAAGTGGGTATAAATTGAAGTGGGAAAGTGGAGATAATGGAAAAATAAATCACTATGAGAACAAGAAAGCACGGAAACAGGTTGCCCAGAGCAATTTTGAACTTTCTATTTTGGGTCATTTTTAAAGAAATGAACAGGTAAAGCCTTAAGCAACTGGGTCTGAATTCAGCATTGACCTTGGTTTGAGCAGGAGGCTGGAGTAGTAGACCTCAGACTTCCAGAGGTTCCTTCCAGCTTGTATGGATCTGCAGTGCCATGAATCTATGAAAATACACTATTGCAATAAAAGAAATATGCTACACAATCTTGCTTGTCTAGGAACTTTTAGTATGTTATTTTATATATCAGCAGAAAACCTTTTACAGGAGACAACCTTTTGCATGTTGAACCTGGGAACAAAGAGTTCTTTGTGTCAAATTAGGATCTACAAAAAGCAAATTTCTGTAAATACATTCATATCAGACAGAAGAGAAATAGCAAGTTAGGTTTTAGAGATGAAGAGACGTGAACATGAAGGACAATGTGTTTAACCATGGATGGTTAGAGTAAACCAGGAAACACAGTACAATCTAATGGTGGATAGGCAGGTTAATAACGCACAGTGGTCCAAATTGCCCCTTTGTTGACCGAGGGATTTATCTGGATTGTCATCAATTAAAAACAAACAAACAAACAAACAAAAACAAGCAGTGGAATTAAAGTTAGCCATCATAAAGCTATCTAGCTGAAATCAATATTTACATGACAGCAGGCTCAAAGAAGCAAAATCCCCAAAATTGTCAAGAAAAGTCCTACACTCTGCTTTCTCCAAAGACACTCAAAGTTTTGACACTGCCTGTAATGGGCCAAGCCTTCACTATAGGGAAATATACCATGGTGTTAGGAAGACACATTTTATTTTCTATTTAATTATCTCATAATAGCTGAAACAGAAAACAGCCATCAAACACTTTTCAAAGAGGAATTACTGTTAAATACCTCAATTTTTACACTTCACACATTTTGGAAAATCTTCCTCAGAGCAAAAATGGGCTTTCATGAGCATTTCATGTTTTTTTTTTTTGCCTGTTAATCAGTTCCAGGCTCTATCATGTATTAATAGTGAAATAACTGATGGTAATAAAAGGAAAATCGTTTACTGATTTTGATCAAAGACTGAATGTGACATTACTCTTTCCAACAATATTTCCACAAGAGGCTTAGAGAAAGTATGTGGTGCATTTGAGACTGCTGTCACTTGGAGAAAGAGTAACAAGGCAGTACTGCTAGTAATGTTCTCTGATGAGCTGGTGCTAGTAAGCACCAGCTTTGTCCTAGGTTAGAAATGACATTATTTGTTACAAACAATTGTAAGGAAAATAACTCAATATCACACTTACATTAATTAATTCTCCTTCATTCATCTTCCAGAGCTGGCAGAAAAAGAACAGGCTTTTCTAGTTTGAATTATCATACTGATAAGATTAGTATGCACAGCTCCATCTTCTGATACTTACATTCAGAAGATCATTACATCTATGTCTGTGAGGAAACAGGAGGGAGACTTGTAAATCTTACATGTTCATGGATTCATAATCTTCCTCTTGTCAGGAACGGCAAGTTTTACAAGCTATTTTAAAGGCATGCCAAGTAAATCAAATAACTATTGGTTTTAATTAGCACTCCTGCAAGCTGTAATGCTCTTTAACTGAAGCTAAGTTACATCAAAGAGATATGAAATTCATTCTTGCCTTTGATGTTTTTTCCACATAAAACACTTCTTCTCTCATCCATGCAGTTTTTATTCCCATTTCATTAAGCAATTGAAGGACACCGATGGGAGCTAATCCTTGGCAATGATGTACCTAAACAATCATGAACTGAATTACCTTGAAGAAGAATATGTTAATATGATAAATAATAATATTTTCAATGGGGCTTTGAGGTGGGTAATTCTCACATGGTTTGTCGTGAGGCAAATATGGTTTCATTGTATTTGTATTCAAAATGATGTACAGTTAAATTCAAGCAAGAACACAAAAATACATAATTATTTGCTTATAGCTTTTGAGGACACGATCTATATACATATATTTGGTGTGTCTGGAGGGAGAATGAAATGCATATTTATCCACATATCAGTTTAAAGCTATCATAAGCATCTCTGTAGTGGAAATTTTCAATACAAATACAAAATGTGCTTTTGCAGGTACTT